CGTCATTGTTGTTTGGCGGGTCCGGGCTGGGGATTCGAACCCGCCACCTTAGGTGCACGTGGCTGGCGCCCCAGCCGGCTGAGCTACAGGCGCCGAGCCCATTTGTTTAGTTTTTAATGTTGTTTTATAATGTTACAGGGAGGACTTAGGACCTGTTATGTCAACTGGAAATTGTTTGGAAAGTGTATCTTCTAGGAGAGTCTGGTTGGTGAGCTCACAATTGTTTATTTTTATATTTTGAGACAAGATATGAACCATTCTGGAATTCTAGGTATATTAACATTTTCTTTTGAATATTTGCAGTCTAGCTTGAGTAAATTAAAAATTTAAGCCAGGCACAGTGGCTCACACCTCTAATTCTAGCTCTTTGGAAAGCTGAAGTGGGAGAATCACTTGAGCCTAGGAACTAAGACTGCAGTAGGCTGTGGTCATGCCACTGCACTCCAACTCTGAGCAACACAAAGTGAAGCATTGTCTCAAAATTTTTTAAAAATTGGATTTTTGAGTGGTTTCAAATTCATCTAAAAATGTTTTGGCACCAAGTTCTTAGCACATTTTAATTCATTGAGAAAATTTACTTTGGTTCTCTATGGAAAAAAATGATTTAAATAATTGAGTATTATATATTATGCAACTATATTTCCCAGACTTTAAGTGATAGGTGGTATTTTCTGTCCCAAACTAAACCCGAAATTTATAAAATTTCTTCAGTGTAACTATAATTGATTATGCTTAGAATAGCCATAGTTTACCAGATTTTTTTCTTTTTCTTTCTTTCTTTTTTTTTTTTTTTTTTTTTTGTGAGACTGAGTTTCACTTTGTCACCCTTGGTAGAGTACTGTGTGTGGCGTCACAGTTCATAGCAACCTCAAACTCTTGGGTTCAAGTGATTCTCTTGCCTCAGACTCTGAGTAGCTGGGTCTACAGGTGCCCATCACAACACCCAGCTATTTTTAGAGACAAGGTCTTGCTCCAGCTCAGGCTGGTCTCAAACTCCTGAGCTTAGGCAGTCCACCTGCCTTGGCCTCCTAGAGTGCTGGGATGACAGGTGTGAACCACCGCGCCTGACCTAGAAATTATACTAGGCACTCCTAATAATTATACTAGAACAGAGGGTGTAAACCAGAGCTGTCCCAAGCAAATCAAGCATATGGTCATCCTGATTATCTAAAACTAAATCTAAGTAACTACTTTTAGAATGACGCATTGTAACTCTCTTTTTGAGGGCTTTAATGCATATAATTTTATTATAATTGATGCAGTCATTAAAAAATTATCATTTTATATACCATCTGCTCAAATCATAAAATCAAGAGTATGAGGGCATTGTAAGTGATAAATCAGTTACCAGGCATCAGGTAATGTAAGATCTCTTTATAAAGTATTATAGCACTATACTTTAAAAGAACTATATGACCCTGAATATAGACAAAGTCATATGTTTTGTTTATATTGCTTTTTAAATAAAATTTATCTGTCAGAGCCTTTCAGAGTTGTTGCTATTGCTGAAAAGATACTTCTTTTTCTAGTCATAAAAATAACATACATTTGGGTGGCGCTGTGGCTCAGTGAGTCGGGCGCTGGCCCCATATTCCCAGGGTGACGGGTTCAAACCCAGCCCTGACCAAACTGCAACAAAAAAATAGCCGAGTGTCATAGTGGCGGGCACCTGTAGTCCCAATGACTCGGGAGGCTGAGGCAAGAGAATCACCTAAAGCTCAGAGGTTGCTGTGAGCTGTGACTCAACAGCACTCTACCAAGGGCAACAAAAGTGAGACTCTGTCTCTAAAATAATAATAATAATAATAATAACATGCATTTACTATATATCTTAGTCTACCATAATAAAATATCATGGACTAGGTGGCTTAAAGTATAGAAATTTATTCTTAGTTCTGGAGTCTAGAAGTCCCATATCAGAGTACTAGGTAGCATGGTAGAGATCTGGTGAGAACTTTCTTCCTAGCTTCCTCAATATAGGAGCATGGAGGTCATCAATCCAACTGGATTGGGATACTATCCCTATAACCTCATTAACTGTCTCCTAAAAGCCCTGTCTCCAAATATAATCACATTTGGGGTTAAGGCTTCAACACAGGAATTTGGAGGGATACAGTTCAACACATAGAACACTTAAAAGTACATAAATTTTAAAAAAGCATTCCATAATCTGCTTTTTAATAACCCTAGTATATCTTCATGTGCTCTAACAGGTTTTTTTTTTTAAATTGAAACAGAGTCTCACTTTGTCACCCTCTGTAGAGTGCTACGGCATTATAGCTCACAGCAACTTCAAACTCTTGGGCTTAAGCAAGTCTCTTGCCTCAGCCTCCCAAGTACCTGGGACTATAGGCACCCACCACAACGTCCAGCTATTTTTTTTGTTTTGTTTGGCAGGCCTGGGCCAGGTTTGAACCCACCAGCCCTAGAGCATGCTGGCTCCCTAACCACTAAGCTGCAGCATCCCCCCCAACAGTTTTTTTTTTTTTTTTT